TATAATGAAAAACAATGATCTTCTTATCAGAGTAAAAAAAAAAACTACTGCATTGTTTTACAGACTTGTACGTAGTTTGCATATGACATCACCTTCTGTTGTTTTGTATCCTGCCATCATCTTGATAGGCAAATAAAAGGGCCATAGCAAACCTGTTATGAGTATTGCCTGACAAGATTTAAAAGTTGCTGTTTCCAGAAATTCAACAAACTAGTAACTTGAGCTCATGCTCAACTTGTGACCAACAGACTCAAATAATTTTACGGCAGGCCTTGCTTACGGTATGTTCATTAAATGGATGTTATAATATATTTATTACTTTATGTTTGTCTCTTTTTCACCTGCTCGACGTTAAAGATCAGTAGACAAGGCCACTCACCTTGGGCGTGGTGGCGCAGAGGTTATAGAAGGTGGGCCTGTGATCAGAAGATCGCTGGTTTAACTCTCGGTACCGACAACATCAAAATTTGGATGGGACAGTTGAAGCACCCACACCAGCCTCCACCCTCATTTGCCCCACTCTGGGCCCTTGAGCAAGACCCATAACCCCCACCATCTGCTCCCCCAGTTGGCCCAGATGGCAGGTCTCTGCTCCACACAGAGGGCTGTGGTAGCTCGGTGGTCTGTGGTTGCATCAGGAAGGACATCCAGCGTAAAAAAAAAAAAAAAATGTACAAGTCTTCGTGCGACTTATTTCGCTGTGGCAATCCTTGAAGAAGAGAGAAGCCGAAAGAAGAAAAAATAATAATACAAGTCCACTCACATCTCCAAGGACCAGAATTTTCTGTTTGTATTGTGTACATATAATTACAATTCACCAGATAATTGATCACATCAATGTAGTTGAATGGAGAAAGGGAGGAATAATCACTAGCCCACAATTTGTTTTTTTATTGCCTCAAATGCTTCAATCTTCTGATTGGACCTCCCACACGTCACTGGATCTCAGCTATCTCAGTGTTGGACCCCAGCTTCAGATCATGAAGGTTTATTGCCTGATTTCAACACTGTCCAACTCAAGTGGTTGTCTGTTTGTCTGTGGTGCAGTTAGCAAAGCTGCTTGTTAACAGAACACCTGGTGATCAGAAGGATCACTGTGACAGCTTTGGTGCCTCTAATGGAAAACACAAGTAAGATCTACAACATTTATTTATTTACACTTTCATTTGATCTGATGTCTCCAAAACTGTAGGCTGTATTTGTATTTTACTGGGACTACTTATTATACAACAAAATAATCTATCTATATGTGAATGTTAACTGATATAAGATCGATTTATGATTACTGGAAAAAATTAATTAGTAAAGGGATAAAATAAACAATGATTAACCTTTTATATTCTTATGGAAATCACGAGTTGTACATTGTCTAAAATGTAAAATATATATATTTTAATCAAGGTGTTTCAGATTGTTGGACATAGTTTTTCGTGATGGCGGCACTTTTGATGCGTGAACTGACTTCACTCTTGAGCAAACGATGTCATTTTTTTATTATCATTATTAACTTCACATGCAAATGTCATGTCATGTTTAGCAGCAATAGTATTACTATGAAATAAGACTTTAAAATAGTTTCATTTCTTATTATAAACGTGCCGTAGTTGCTTCCATTCCCAGAACTTTCTGACCCGCTGCGATCCACATCGTGTCTGCTCACCCTGTCCTGCTCTCTGCTGCTTGTTCACTGACTTTGCGTCCCTTCCTCCTCACTTTTTTCTCTCTCTCTCATTGCTCTTTCACTTCTTCTGGCCTGATTTTGCACTTTGCAGCAGCCATTAGTCCAAAGTACTGCCTCTCATGCATTAACCATTGGCCTGTACTGCTCCCATTAGATCTGCTGCCTCACGTGGAGGGAGCTGAGGTGTTGGAAGACGGACGGAACTAAAGTCTGATGAAAATTTCCCGAGAAGGCAAACCAACACTTGCCAAGTCGTGAGCTCAACTGACGTTAGCATTTCACAAAGGAGGATTTCATATTAGCTATAAGAGTGTAACAAGATGAAGCGCATACATTTCTGTGAGCCTAACGACTCATGCACTAATTGTGATTGGCTGATTTGCTGCACGGCTGCCAGATGGACTTCTGATTGAGCGGCTGGGGCTTTTGAAGCTGGGAATATGAGCGTTAAAACATAATCACATGAAAAATGACCTTTACAGCCCTTCTGCACATGTGGGCTCTCTCATTAGCAAAGTGTTTTGATGTTTTACTGTGTGTAAATAATTTACGTCCACGCTCGAGACACATCTACCTTCACTGTCAGCACAGAATGTGCCGACAGGAGCTACTGATGTCTTATCTGCAGGATGGGGGGTTACCGCAGTGTTGCTGCCTTTCAAAAGGATCCAACCTGCTAAATATCTTGTGACATCTTTCACAAACTGTCTTCAAAGGTTTAGCCTTGAAATTGAACTCTCTGAAAAAAAAGTCTGCAATTTGAACGATGCGTCGAGGTTACAGAAGCTGAAGGGCAGGATGAGAGGAAACACAACACAAGGATTCAAGGCTTTGCTCGATTTATTTTGTTTTCTCTACATGAACTTTTGGGATCCAACATCTGACAATTACAGCTCCATTGTGCACCTGCTGTTCACATTTGCAGCAGGTATCAATTAACTCTGTTAAGAGATACATGTGGCACAGTTGTTTAATTAAGAGCAAGTGAGTGTCTGTTTCACCAAAACTGTGCTATGTAATTACTGATTTTAATAATTTGCTTAAACACTAGCTGTGTTCAACACCATGGTTGTTTGAGACTTCTCTCAGTGCGATGCAATTTGTTTGTCACATTAACAGAAACCTCCACTGTGTTCATCTCTGTAAAATTTAAACGAAAATCAAATACCTCTATTTAAAAAATGTCCTGATGCATGCTCAATGAGTACTTTTTTAGTCTTCCACTGACTTCACATCTGAATGATACCACGCAGCTTGATGCACAGAGCATGCATCCTCATTTTATTACATTTAAACTGTCATCTTTTGCACACATCTACAAAACCAGCAGAAAAAAATGGATCTCTAACCTCTAGTTTGAACTAATAACATGTATTGCTTGCAGAAAGCTCACTGCTGTTTTATTTTCATAAGCTTAATTAAATCCACTAAAATATTTTATGATACCCACAAACTATATGTAATTAACTATAAAATCATAACACATGAGTGTGCATGTCCTGGGGGAGGTGGATGAAACCGTCACAACGGGGAACATTAAAGTGATTTTACTGAGGTGAGACTGCTGTTTCAGCATTGTTGCAAAACAAAGTGATGAGATGGTTTAGTTTGCATGTTTCCAACACAGATCGTTGTTGGCATGAACACTGTTTCAATTCAGTTCATTTATTTGGCGTCAAGTCACAACAGAAGTCGTCTCAGGGCACTGAACAGAAACATTCACATATTTATCTAAGGAAGCCAGCAGACACGTTCACTCTTCATTTCGGCACAGTCTCCCATCCTGAGCAAGCACAGAGGCAACAGTGGAAAGGAAAAACTCACTCCTAACAGGAAGAAACCTCCAGCAGAACCAGGCTCAGGACGAGCCGCCATCTGCTTCGACTGGCTGGGTTTGAGAAGAACCGAACTTGGCAAAAAGGCCTTTTCCTATTCAGCTCCTGAAATCTGGATCACCTTGCAACAGGATCTGAAGTTGTCCACGTTGATTTCTTTAAAAGGTTTCAAACACTTGATAATGTAAATAGAAAAATCAAAGCAAATATGTTCTTGATTTTAGTATTTCACCCAGTTTTACAGCACCCTGATTTATTGTTTGGTACACTACTCTTATTTTAACTGCAGTTTATTGTAATCATTGTTTACTGTTTTGTTGTGTACTTTATATGTTCTGTCTGGAACTGGTCCCTCTTGCAAATGAGTTCCTGTGGCTCATCGAAGCTAGCCTGTATAAATAAAGGTTGACTGAAAAGGAGGAACAGAAACAGAATAGCAGGTCCAGAAAGGAGGCGAGCAGGTGAGCAGATCTTTAGAAGGAAAGATTTTTTTAAAAAACACACGTTAAAATAAGAATAATTACAAATACAAACTATTCGTTTGTACTAATTTGTAACTATTCATTTGAGAAAATTACGCTAATTTCTCCTCCAGTAGTCTAAGCCTGTATAGCAGCATAACTAAGGGATAGAGTTGCATTCGGGCCCAAAAATTCCAATCCGACCCGGCCCCAGCCCATAGCCATCATTTCTGAACCCCACCTGACCAGACGAATTAACAGTAACTACAGGTTCGAACCTGAAAAAAAAAGCTGAATAAAAGGGTCAGAAGATCAGAGCTGACGGGTGTTTGTCCTTTCATGGCCGTCAAAGCACATTAAATCACTGCCTGTGCCTGCATTCTGCATTATTCAGACACAGACCCTGCTCTGACATGTCTGCTTTGGGATCTCACCTGGTTGGGTCATCGGCCGCGCGCGTCCACTGAGTGCAGCAGCTGAACGTCCATTTGGGCGATGAATCGCATCCTGCCAGTACTAGTAGTCCCATTTAAAGCTTAATTGAACTTTATTTCACCTCTTTCAAGGCCAGTCAGCCCCCGGTCAAATGGCTGCATGCAGCTGGTGAATAAATGGCAAGCCATGTTGCCATATAATTGGATCGCGGCTGATCCGCTGACGCAATCAAAAGCCTGACCCAACCCATCCATCCAGCACATTATTATGGCCAGGCCTGGCCCAAATTTGGGTCGGCCTGGGCCGGGCTTCGGGCCCAGGTTAGAAGTGACAGCTCTTCTAAGGGATAGCTCAGACAACAAAAAATAAAATAACTATAGGATTTATCAAAGACGTGAGCCTAATCTTAAAACTGGACGATGTGTCAGCCTCATGGATAGAAACTGGAAGTTGGTTCTACGAGAGGATCCTGATAACTGGAAGCTCTGCCTCCCATTCTGCTTTTGGGGTCTCTAGGAGCCACAAGTAAACCTGCAGTCTGAGAGTGAAGTGCTCTGTTAGGAAAATATGGAACAATAAGATCTGTCATATAAGATTGAACTACTGTAGGTTGTTGAGAGCTTTGTAGGTTAGAAGTAAAAATTTGATTTATATTCTGAAGTTGAGAGGGAGCCAGTGGAGAGACGCTAAAACTGGAGAGATGTGATTTGTAACTAAGAAAGATGACTTACTCTTCAGTCACATTTTAATTGATAATTGAAATATTTTCAACCAAGTAATTTTGACTAAACATTAAATCTGTGTGTGAGAGTGTGCATGTGTGTGTGTGGGGTTGGGGGTTGAACGGAAATGGGAGTTGTCTATTTTGGGCTCTCAGTGCACCGCTTCACTTGCAAGGAAAATGTTTGTTTTCTGTTTGCGACTAAAACAGTCTCTTTGAATCCCCGCAGGACTTGGTGGCCTCCACTCTTCTTCTTTTGATATTGATGCAATTTGATGTTCACATCTGTGCATCTGTAAGGCTTTTTATTTTTTTCTGGCTGGTTCCTTTAAGCACAATACATGTTTCTGTTTTCCTTCTGGAAAGATGATATAATTGGCCCAAATTCAGTTCAGGAAGTGTTTTGTTTTTTTTCTGTCTCTTATGCATCTGATCAGGCTCCATCAGCTACCAGACAACTTTCTAAGTGCAAAAGTTGTCTATCCTATTTCAAGATGAAGTTTCTGAGATGCAGATTTGCAGACACTTTGTCAAAGATGTAAAAAACGGAGTCTAAAATATATTTCTCCACCACAAAAATCGAGGAGATGTGGGGAAAATACAGCCATGGCAGAGTTTTAAATGCTGCAACATGAATGACTCGGTGACTGTTCAAGTTTTGGATGTTGCCATAAAAAATAAACGTTTTTATTTGTTAATTGGTGTTTGTCTATAAAGTTTTTTCGTCATTAATCTTTATGTTTTCGAGGTGACATGATGAGCAATCGTGTCCCTGCGAGGCTCCAATAACATATTGGATTTGGTGATCAACATCAGAAGCTTCTAATGAAAATTAAATACCCCCCAAAGTATTTGGAGCCTTGGAACAGAATTAAATGTTATCAGGGCAATTCTCTTTGGCTCCTCCTTTCTGTTTGGAGGAAGACGAAGCGAAGCTGATTAAACACACAAAGACATTTCTGGCTTCATGACAATGAGGCTCATCTAATCTAAAACTAATCCCCCTTATTCTGCTCCTCGGAGACACAACCCTCCATTACTGACCCGGCACTCCCTCTTCCTCCCATCAGTCACCCTCCCTCCTCTTTTCACTCACTCTTTTACTGCTTCAGCTTTAATACTAATTCTCCAAGGTCTGGCTGTGCATATAACCCTTCACGGCTTGATGAACCTCAGATAAAAAGTCTGTCTCTTCTCTCCAGGGGCCCAGGGTTTTAAGTTTTCTTTCCAAAACTGTCTTTGAGGTCCTGGTTTCCTCCCAGTGGAGGAGCCTGGTCCAGAACTTTTATCCGATGACCTGTCCAAGAGAGACGCTCTGAGAAGACCGGATCAGAAGCTGAGGCATCGAGCTCAAGGAACAGAAAGGATTGTATACGTTCAGAGTGAAGAGGAGGGATGAAACCAACAATCTTTTTATGTTTGTTTTCTATTTCTCACCTTACAACACACTTTTCTTGTGTGTTAGTGCATGTCCCTGCAAATGACACTCCTGCATACAGATTTGTTTCAGCCCTCTGTGTTTTTTTATGCCTGCTGGCAGAAATGTGATGGACTGACCACTCGATATTTGTAGATGTTAACAGAGGCACTGAAACCCACATGACAACACAAACTATCAGATGATGTTGCATGTTGCTTCATTGCCATCACATGACAGAAGCTTCTACAAGAAATTTAACAAAAGTATTGAGGCAACACTTTACAGGTCAGTTTTTACATCATTTCATCTGTCAGGACGATCCGTTCACTCAGATCAATCAAAGATATATGATGAAGAGTAGTTGCATCCTCCCACCACAGCAGTTTGGGGGTTTTATAAGGAGATAGCATAAAATAGCCTCTTCTTTTGTTTTGTGTAATTAAAAAATAGTGCGAAAATTGGACAAAAATGTCTTTTCCAATTTTTTTTTCCAGATTAATTTTTTTTTTTTTCTTTTCCCAGTACAGGTACGTAACGTTCTAAAGGATCTGTGACAAAAATATAACAGTTTATAGAGAAATAAAATGTATATATCCATTTTCATGGCAGATATGCAGTGGGAAATAATGTTTTATAGATGCAATGAGTGTTTGTTAAAAGATGCATTAAAAAGTGGTGGATTTATTTGTATTACGCCATCTTATTTTCTATATTTTCAGATTTTAACTTTGTTCTTTTCCCTTAACACAATGGCTCTAAAACTTTAGTTTGTGAAACAGATTTTAAACATTAAAATCTTGTCTTTCTACACTATAAAATAAATGACAAAGTGAGTAACTATTTTTAATTTGAAGAAAAAAAAATTCATGATGACGAACGATATCCATTTCTCAATGCTTGTGTAAAAATGCCTAAATAAATAATAATGCCGATAGATGGATAGATAGATAGATAGATAGATAGATAGATAGATAGATAGATAGATAGATAGATAGATAGATAGATAGATAGATAGATAGATAGATAGATAGATAGATAGATAGATAGATAGATAGATAGATAGATAGATAGATAGATAGATAGATAGATAGATAGATAGATAGATAGATAGATAGATAGATAGATAGATAGATAGATAGATAGATAGATAGATAGATAGATAGATAGATAGATAGATAGATAGATAGATAGATAGATAGATAGATAGATAGATAGATAGATAGATAGATAGATAGATAGATAGATAGATAGATAGATAGATAGATAGATAGA